TCAGCCAGCCAGCCAAGCCAGAGCGGCAGAAGCAGCAAGCCAGCCAAGAGCCAACGTGGCGGAATCAGTCAGCCAGGCAAGAGCCAACGCGGAGGAATCATCCAGCCAGCCAGCCAGCTAGACAAGGCTAGAAAAATCGGTGAATCGCTAATTTGACTATGTCCGTGAGGGTAATCGCACGTTTTGACGTCCTTGAAAGTACGTCTACTATGGACGAATCAGAAAGACATTGATCCTATGCTGGACGGCTACTGGGAGGGACCCCCACGCGCAGACAGGAAGGAAGGCAGGCAGCCCCGGCGCGCAGGCAAGCAGGCAGGCAGCCACGCAGGCACGCACGCAGAGACACAGACACAGAGACAGACACAGACACACAGACACGCGCACACAGACCACCCCACCCACCCACCCACCGCACCCCACCCACCCCACCCACCCACCCCGCCCACCCACCCACTCACCCACCCACCCACCCACGCACCCACGAACCCACGCACCCACGCACCCACGCACCCACGCACGCACGCACGCACGCACACCCCGTACACACACACACCACACACACACACACACCACACGCACACACACCACACGCACACACACCACACGCACACACACACACACACACACACACACACACACACACACACACACACACACACACACACACACACACACACACACACACACACACACACACACACACACACACACACACACACACACACACACACACACACACACACACACACACACACACACACACACACACCACACACACACACACACACACACACACACACACACACACACACACACACACACACACACACACACACACACACACACACACACACACACACACACACACACACACACACACACACACACACACACACACACACACACACACACACACACCCTCACACCACACACACCACACGCACCACACCCACCACACACACACCGCACACACACACACACACACCACACACACCACACACACCACACACACCACACACACCACACACACCACACACACACCACACACACCACACACACCACACACACACCACACACACACACCACACACACCACACACACCACACACACCACACACACCACACACACACACACACCACACGCACCACACACACCACACACATCACACACCACACACACACACACCACACACACACACCACACACAGCACACACACACACCACACACACCACACACACACGCACGCTCATGTGCGCGCACGCACACGCACGCACACCACACACACACACACACAACACACACCACACACACACACACCACACACACCACACCACACAGCACACACCACACACACCACACACACACACACCACACACACACACACCACATAGCACACACCACACACACACCACACACACACACACACCACACACACCACACACACCACACACCACACACACCACACACACCACACACACCACACACACCACACACACACACCACACACACCACACACACACACACCACACACACCACACAGCACACACAGCACACAGCACACAGCACACAGCACAACACACAGCAAACAGCACACAACAAACAACAAACAGCAAACAACCAACACGCAGCACGCAACACACAACCCACAACACACAACACACAGCACACAACACACCACACAACACGCAACATGCAACACACAACACACAACACACAACACACACACAACACGCAGCACACACAACACACACACACACAACACACAACACACAACACACCACACAACACGCAACGTGCAACACACAACACACAACACACAACACACACAACACGCAGCACACAACACACACACACAGACACTCCGGCACACACACACACACACCACACACACACACACACACGTACCCACGCACCCACGCACCCACGCACCCACGCACCCACGCACCCACACACCCACGCACCCACGCACCCACGCACCCACGCACCCGCACGCACGCACGCACGCACGCACCCGCCCACCCACCCACGCACGCACGCACGCACGCACGCACCCACACACCCACACACACACACCACACAGAGACGCCGACACATAGACACCGAGACACACAAACACACAGACACACAGACGGCCTGACGCGCAGACGCACAGACGCACAGACGCACAGATGCATACGAACAGACGCACAGAAGCGCAGGCGCGCAGACACACAGGCGCACAGACGCACAGACGCGCAGACGCACAGATGCACAGACGCGCAGACGCACAGACGCACAGACGCGCAGACGCACAGACGCGCAGACGCGCAGACGCACAGACGCGCAGACGCACAGACGCACAGACGCGCAGACGCATAGATGCACACACGCACAGACAGACGACGCACACACAGACAGAGGCACACAGACAGACACACACAGACAGACACACAAAAACACACACAAACCCACACAGGACCACAAGCGCACAGCCGCGCGCAGCGGCGCACGGCCGCGCACAGCGGCGAGCTCACAGCAACGCGCAGCAGCGCGCAGGAGCGCGCGGCAGCGCACGGCAATCCAACATCCTGAATTAATTTCACGTTTCAACCGCGCGGGCGGGGCGCGCGCCAGGGAACCAAGGGTAAATCCAACACTCGGCGCGCGCGCGCGCGACCGTGCGCGCGCGCGCAACGCACAAACACGAGCGCAAACACGCGCTCGCAAACACACGCACAAAAGCACACAAAGCCACACACACACACACGCCCACTGACCCACGCACCCACCCACCCACCCACCCACCCACCCACCCACCCACACACACACACACAAACGCACACTACACACACTTGCGCACACACACACACAACCACACACGAACGCGCAACCACACACACACACAACCACACACTCACACACGCACACTTCCGCGCCCGCACAAAAAGCCGCACGCACGCGCGGACGCGCGCCCACGCCCACACGCGCGCACACACACACACCCACCCACCCACCCACCCGCCCGCCCGCCCGCCCACCCACCCACCCACCCACCCACCCACCCACCCACCCACCCACACCCACACCCACACCCACACCCACCCACACGCACACGCGCACACGCACCCGCACGCGCACGCCCATGCGCACGCCCACGCACGCGCACGCGCACGCGCACGCGTACTCGCACGCGCACGCACACGCACACGCACACGCGCACGCACACGCACACGCACACACCCCCGCCCCGCCCCGCCCCGCCCCCGCCCCCGCCCCGCCCCGCCCCGCCCCGCCCCGCCCCGCCCGCCCCGCCCGCCCCGCCCCGCCCCGCCCCCCCCCGCCCCGCCCCCGCCCCGCCCCGCCCCGCCCCACCCCACCCCACCCCACCCACCCACACAGAGACAGAGACAGAGACAGAGACACACACAGAGACAGAGACAGAGACAGAGACAGAGACAGAGACACACACACACACACACACACCCACACACACACACACACACGCACGCACGCACGCACGCACGCCCGCACACCCGCCCGCCCGCCCGCCCGCACGCACGCATGCACGCACGCCCGCACGCCCGCACGCCCGCACGCACACCCGCACACCCGCACACACCCGCACCCGCACCCGCACCTGCGCCCGCACACGCGCACGCACACGCACGCGCACGCGCGCGCGCACGCACGCATGCACGCACCCACACAACACGCACACACACACACACACACACCCACACACCCACCCAGTCGGTGGGCACGCGCGCACCCACGCAAAAGACGCACGCATGCACCTTCGCTCGCACGCGCGTGCGGTCGGTGGGCACGCGCGCACACACGCACAAACACGCACGCACGCACGCACACACGCACACACGCACACACGGACACTCGCACCCATGCGATGTATTTGGATTATTTCCGAAACAATTTTCGGGGAACTTTGCAAAAGCCACTGTAATCAACATCCCGTCGCTCACATCATTGCATGGTCTACTTGTGCTCACTCAACACAGGCTGCCCCATGTTTGTGTACACACGGTCAACTTCTCCGGCATCGTTCACGCGCACGCACACACACACACACAAGTCAGAGTGGTTGGCGATTGGCGACTTTAAGCATGCTGAAAGAGCAGAAATGAAAGGCATGTGCAAGCTTGTGTTTTGATGTATTTTTGACACTAGGTGTACTGTTGGCCGTGCTGCCTGGGGTGCAATCAGAGGTGGTCAAAGAAATGGTGCTTGGGTGCCGAACCAGGCTAGTCCAGCAAGGGTCAGTGAAACCAGTCCTGGTATGGCAATTTGTTGATTCCCAGGCTGTGTGTGTTTGTCGCAAGTTTGCTTCCCTTCAGCCTTTTACTACACACTTGTGGAACAGAGATTTGGCCCAGGTAACAAGCTTCAAGAATCATACCTTCAACGAGAGCGATGAGATGCAGGCCCGCCTGTTTCCTCATGCCCGGTTTAAAGTCATTTACGCAATGATGTTTTGTTTTTTGATCACGCTGTCTTGCCGCGTTAATAGTTGTAAAGTAAGGGTTGGGATTCTGAGAGTTTGTTGCAAGTGAGACACTGGGGCGTGCTTTGGATGTGCTCTTTACGTAGGGTGATATGCGTAGACCGTGGGCTTGTCAGGCGGAATGAGTTGATGTGGAATGGATGAGCAATATTATGTTTGTGTTTGTTGATTCATTGATGGGAAGATGCTTGTGTGCTTGTGTGTGTGTGACATGGAGAAGCGAATTCTGCTCACAAGAGGCGTGCTGTTCAGGCTTGCGTGGCTTTAGAATGAGATGAAGTGAACAGTATTTCAAGTGGGAAGCTGGCAATAATGTGACTTGTGATATTTGTGAAAATACAGGACCATTTTGCTTGAAATATCTCGGATACAGTTGCGGAGTCACTTGAGTCCTGTTTGTGCGAAAATAATAGCATAATGAGCATATATAATGTGTGCAGAGTTAGAGGGAAGTTTAGGTGTGAGGTGTTTTTGTATTGTGCCTGATGCAGAGCTTGTTCTGCAAGGCTCGTTTTTAAATGCGACCTTTGCATGCCTTGGCCTCGTGTTTGTCATTTGGATTTGTAGGGATTTGACCGGATGTGTAAGTTGCAAAATCCTCACCTGCCAGATCTATGGTGTTATGCTCAGGGAAAGGTGGATCCTGTTGGCAACGTGACGGAGTTAATCTTATCCCTGTGTGGCTGTGGGTGTGGGTGTGGGTGTGGGTGTGGGTGTGGGTGTGGGTGTGGGTGTGGGTGTTGTCATTCTGAATTTGTGTGTGCCTGCCAGTGGGTATGTGGGTGTGTGTGTGTGGGTGTGCGCGTGGGAAAACACTTACCAAATGGAAGTCTGAAGCCAAACGAACGGCAATGTTTAACGTGGAGTAGTCAAGCTGGTTGATGGCATCCCTGGTCAGCCCGTTTGGTGAATCTGAGCACATCTCATACAAAGCTGGGGCTTGGATGGAGGTTGACCATGTGACGTTCTATTGATCACGTCACGGCGGCGAAAGATAGTATCGGTGGGTTGTCGGCAGGAACCCAAATTCAAGCCAGACTCTGACTTCAAGCAGGTGATGCACGCTTTGAGGCCTGGAGTTGGGCACGTATGCTGAACTGACCCATCTGCACAGTAGACTTTAAGGCCTATGCTTTTCCAACCAGAGTTGGTTGCAGGGATATAAAAGCCGCACGCGTCACTTTTCGGTGCATCACAGTCGCGTGCACCTGCAGGGCTGTTGACCCTTGCATCACCTACCAAGAGGTCGAATGGGTGCTGGGGAAGGCTGCAATGCGCTGAAGACTTGCCAGTGTTCACAAACATCACATGGCAGGAACACGCGCTTCACGACACTCCCGTGACCTTTGATGAGATTTGGGGCCTTTTTCAGGTGGGCTACGTAGGTATGTCCCTCTCACGAGACGTGTTGCCCCAGGATGGCTCAGGGCTAGACGTTGATCCGACAGAGCAGTCCTTCGAATATTTCTGCACGTCCGACAGCAAGCACCTGGACCTTATCAAGGCGCGAATCTGCACTCATGAGGCTGTATGTCTCACGACACATGCGGAATGAGCATGAACGAGCTTTGGTAGATAAGCAGCCTTCCTGCAGGTGTCATTTGGGGCTAATTGCAACAACGGAGAACTTACATGCCGAATTTGGTTTTCATTTAGTACTTTCAACCGTTACAAAAGACTGAATCGTGCAGAGTTTCCGGCTGGACAGAAGCCAGGCAACGTTCAGGAAGGAGTTTGGTTTAGGAAGGAGGGCGTTCTGCGTAAGCTGCTGGCATCTCACACGCATTAAGGAATTTGCATCCATGTACAATACTCATCATTGAACACATGTATGTGCAAGTTGCACTCTAATATGCAGCTTGGAAACGCAAAGCCATGCATGTCCAACGAGTGTCACAACTTTGTGGCAATTGCACTGATTTATATTACTGCTTGGTTTGGCAGCATCCTAGATAAGTCTCGCAGCGAGTCGAACAGGCAACACACCGCTCCGCATGCTGTTTTCTCCATGTCGGACGAATCTGAATCCGCTTCAGGTGGGCGATGCATTGGACCTGGCCGGCGAGCGTGGACTTTCAGATCACATTCTGAATGTCGCAATCAAGAGGACAGCATGCTGCGGCAGACATCTGAATTTCTTGGTTAGATGCTAGGCCATGATTGTCCAATTTATAATTTATTGGTGGTCGAGATTTTGCTTCCCAAGCCCATGGTGTGGCAATGAGATTGTGCTCGCTGGCTGTCAATGTGACCACTACGTCTGCTGCAAGAGCTCGGAAATTTTGGAAGACCCGTTTAAGTTGAGGATGAAAGATGAGCAGGGAGATGCCGTTGCAAGGCGCGGCATGCACAGCCAGTGACAAATAGGTTTGCCATGTAGCACGACGAATTTCAATGAGTCCAGCCTTGCTCAGGGATTTCCACTTGTCCAAGAGAAAAGAGAACCTGATTGACTCGCGCGAGTACAGGACCGAAAAGGATTTCGTGAGTGAGTGCACTTGTGTATATGTGTATATATGCTTGTGTGAATGTGTGCATGTGTGCATTTCTTTTGTGTGTGTGTGTGTGTGGGTCTTTGTGCATTTCTCTCTCTGTCTGTGGTTGTGTTTGTATTCGTGTTTGCGTTTGCATCCGTGTGAGCGTGTTTCAGGTTTGTGTTTGTCAAGGCTTTTATTCTTCAGTCTTCGGTGGTGCCATTGCGCTTCAAGAAGAAGCGCGTGTTAGCGAGGGAGAAGGCAAAGCGAGGGAATTGAAGAAACATCTGCTGAATTGGTCTTGTAGACTTGTAGTCAATGTTGATGAAGCACGAGCCATCGAGATCAGCTTCCCTGCAGGAAGCTTTTCTCGATGACAGCAGGCAGGCATTGGTCTAGAGTCTAGCGATCCCGTGACTTGGGTCTTCTACATTACTATTGCTGCTGTCGCAGTCGCTGTTAATCTTCTAGACCAGCTTTCTTGTGTCTCAAGTTTCCCCAATCACGAGGCAGTCATGCTTGCTTGCACGAGGCAAAATTGCAGACGCGAAAGCGCTAGATGCCAGCGCTGTTTTTTAATGAGGTGAGAAACATAATGCGATTACTGTTTGCATAGTGTTGGCTCGGAGCTTTGGCTCGGTTGGTTGATTGGCTGGCTGGTTGGTTGCAAGGTTGTTTAATACATGTTCGGTCGGGGAAGGGGGTGTGGGGAGGGGGCTTGCGTCACCTCTAGCATTCGGGTATCAGGCCACACAGCTAGGCAAACAGTCATGGCAGTCAAACAAACATCTGACCACCAAGAGAAGCTAGCTGTTTTGCTTGCTTGCTGTGCCAGGCCCACGATCGCAAACAACAAGCCTGTGATGCGGAGCAGTGCATAGTTGCTTTGGTTTCACTCAAGTCATGCCATGGACTTCTGGTACAGCACTCCAGCACTAAGAACTTGTGATGCTCCACCAGTCTAGGGCTGCTGCACCTGTCTCACAGAATGGCGACGCAGCTGCAGCAGTCCGAATCGCCATGCGAGCGCTCGGTGCATTGCAACTCGATGTGCCGGGAAACCGGATTCAGGCAAAGATGCAGACTCGCACGTTTTGGCTCGCAGTCAGTCAGTCAATCGGACTCCAATATCTCCGTGCTGATCTCACTGCTCGGTTGTGGCATAAAGTCTGTGCAAACCATCCGGCTGTGCGTTGCTCAGCGCATATCAGGCCACTGCCTTCGCAAGCATGAAGGCCGCGACAGCCTCAGACTAAAGTTTAGCGGAGCTCGGAGCTGGTGAGGGGGGACGATTTTCAGAAGCCTTTTGGCTTGCGCTCTCCACGGCATTTCTGTGCCATGATTTGTCCCGTTCCAGGGTGGCTTGCACACACACTTGAAACTTTGAAGCCTCAAGCTTGCTGACAAAGGCAGGCTGAGGCAAGCCAAACTACCTGGGAGGAGACATACACTTTGCCAACTACTCCTTTTGTCCTCAGCAAGTTTGGCTCAAGTGCCCCCTGGCCACTTCAACACACTACAGGTGCTTGACTTAGTCAGAATCATGTGGGTGAGACTGGGCTGGACTTGTTCACAGTATATTCCACAATGTTCACGCAGACTCAGGCATTTGAGGCCTCAAAGCATCGCCTCGATGACGCAGTTGATCTCCAGGCAAAATGGCGTGTTAGATGGTAGAAAGATGCAGTTCTCTGATTTGGCTTCAGGCATGCTCTCGTGCAGACATGCGGCATGACTGTCCTGACCCCGGACGGTAATCTGGACCCCACAATCTGTATTGCATGAAGAATAACGTTGAGAAGCGCAGCGTGCATCATCCGGATCACTGAATCACTGACAGCTCGCGTTCGCATCGTGTGACTGGCCAAGTTGCTGGTGCTTCCTTTGGCTGGGCTTTTGTGGCAGAAGCTTTTGGGCAAGGCAGGCTTGAGGCGAAGGCATGGCGGGTCTTTCCCAAGCGACCGTAGGCAGACGGCCAGAATTTGGTTTCGCTCCTGGCGGTCATTTGGAAGTACCGTAGGCGTGGTCTGCCTCATCTCAACCGATTGCAAGAAACATGTTCTAGAGATCATACTTGAGCAGGACGGACTTCCGCGGCTTTATGAAAAGCCACAGGGAAGCTATCAGGAAGGGAAAAGAGTCAGGCGTGCCTCTTTGGTGTTTGTTGGCTGCCAGTTTGACAGTTTGACAGTTTGGCAGTTTGACAGTTTGGCAGTTTGACAGTTTGACGCAGAGGTGACTATGTTCCTGGTGTGATGAACTACTACAGCCTAATGTCGGACTGTGCTGCCCTTCTGTCGGAGTTCAACTGAGTTAGCAGATCTCAAAGAAGTGAAATTTGAGGACCTCATCACTCTTTGCAGTGGCCCTTACTGGCACTTTGTGCCGATGCTCAAGGGCATTTCAAGAAACGAGTCTCAGTCAGCATTGTACGCTATGAGACAGATGATGTTTCGTCACCAGCATGGCGCTCGTCATGCGCCAAGGAGAGCCACAAGCGCTTCCATCACACATTGGCGCGCTTTCTGGGAGCAGGCTCGTGAGAAGCATACCTCCTACGGAGGAGATTCTTGACAATTCAGGCAAAGATGATGACATCCTAGAGTCGGAAGCTCAAGGAGGTTCTATATGTTTGCACATGTGCACCCGTACATGGCACCAATTTGCATGTCACAAGAGCTAGCTTGCTAGCTGGAGTCTGTATTGCTTTAGACTGGGGCACGCTCGACTCCCCTCAGAACCGCACACAAGGCTCCCGGCTTCCCGGCTTCTGCCCGCTCTTCGCTCCGCTCTGTGCTTTGCTCCCCGCTGTGCTTCCTTTTCGCTTCGCTCTTCTCTTTGCTCTTCTCCCCACTATTGGCTCCGCTGTCTCCGCTCTTGCTCAGTCTGACCTTCAGTTGATCCTGCTCTTTGACATTCTGCGATGCGGTGACTCTGCTGACCTGAGGATTGGCTGCGGCTACGGTGAAATGGGCCGTCAGGTGGCAAAGATCTCTGGTGCCAGCGCGTGGGCCCCATGTCTCTTGCCAGCCAAGATGTGTTTTGCCCATGCGACAGGTCACCGGTTTGACTATGGCGGATGCCGAGATCGTCGGCGGCAATGAGCGCATCAAGGTGCTGCTGAGGGCTCACGTATGCAACAGACATGTCTTGCGAAGAGCCTTCATTGAAATGCATTGTGAAATGCAGATAGCTTCTTGAGCAGTGTTTGCAAGACGTGCCCTGGGGCGAGAAGGGCTCGCTCCACACGTCAGAAGTGAACCCTGAGGAGGCAGGCTTGCAGGACCACTGCAAGATTGCTGTCGACTCAGTTGGGCAGCGCTCAAATTTCCTAAATAGCTTCCGCGAAAGGGCTACTTGTGTGTTCAGACGGCTCAGAGGAGGTCTTGACCGTGCGAGAGCATGCATTTGCTCCTGTGTTTTAATTACTAGTGTGCACAGGCTGTTTGCCAGTTGCGAAAGCGTCCAGGGATTTCCGCGAAAGCTCCCTCCAGGCGTCGGTCCAAGATCCAATGGGTGGTTTGCACATAATTATTGTACTGGAAAGTTGGATGTTTTGAGCTTGAGCTGCTACTCTTGTACTGAAGAGTTGCCATTTTCAAGCTGGAGCAACGAGAATGCACTTGGTGTACTGGTCCCGAAAATCTCAGGCAGCCGCCGCAAAAGGGTTGATGCAAAACAACCCCCACGAAAAGAATAGCCACGCGCCCGAAAGCTTCGCGAAAGCTCGGAGAGTTATGAGGGCAACCAAATCTCGACCTATTTTGTGCACTCAGTGCCTAGACCTTTGGGCCTGCCAGAAGTCTTTGGCATTCAGGTCCAAGGCAACTACAACAACACTGGATTTGAGGCTTGGCCACCTGCAAGCCAGCGCAACTTCCATGGGCGATGGTGCCTCAGGACGAAAGCTTTTCCAAAGTCTTTGGAGTGTACACGCTGAAGTACTCCTCCAATCTGGATACGGTTTTCACGGAGGTGGCTTTGCATTGTTACATTCTCTTCCAGTATTGACTGGCATGCATTCTTCAATATTCGTGATCATTCTGCAGTGGGGAGAGTTGTCTCGCTGCTTGAGGTGGCACGGCTCTTGAAGCCAGGCGGCAAGTTCCTATCCTATGAGATCCTAGTCACTCACATGCACCGAATCTGATACAATACGCCTGAGAAGATTCATATGCCCGCATATCTGAGGTTACCGACAAGTATGATGCCTCCAACCCCGAGCATTGTGAGTATGCCGCAACCTTGAGCATGACTGATAGGTTTGCCAATCTTTCAGGTCAGAATGATGCATACGCAGTTGCTCAGGTCCAGAACATCTCTACCTGCACTTGCATGCCGCCGAACGGCCCTTGGGCAGAGTATGAGATCGACCCAGATGTCACCGCCCAGGCTGTGGCCGGCCCAAGCCATGCGCGACGCGGCACAGAGGGCAGGCCTAGTTCCGGTGGTCGAGGAGGACAGAAAGAAGCAAGCAAACCGTGCATCCAGCGATTGCATTCTGATGCGGAGCAAGCTGTGCGTCAGAGAAAGGCAACGCAGAGCAGCAGTGCTTTGAAAAAACTAGTTTCAGGGATGTCGCCTAAATCTGCCGACTCTTCCCCTGTGTCGGAGTCACAAAAGTCTGCACGGTCGGCAAATTCTATCCGACTCCTGGCGCATCACGGGCGTCAGCATAGCTGTGCATGTTTTTTGTTTTGTTTTTCTTTTACATTACTTTGAACACCGCTCCAAGGCAACTCGACAGGGCCAAACCACTCGCAAAACTGAAGGCACCGATCAAGGCGGAGGGGTGCCTATTAATCAAGAGAAGTCAGGGGCTGCTTGAAGCTGTAGGAGGAGGCTTGTTTGTTGCCTGAGCGAAGAGGACCTCGGACTAAGCATTGAGCCTGCCTTCCTTTGGAGGCCGCAGTACCTTGTAGCATATGCAGCCGTCTTTTCCAGAAGCGTGCACACCGCATGTCAGCATTTGAAGAAGAGGAATCATGGACTCGATGGACAACGTTAATTAATTTCAGAAATGAAAGGCTTTCCTTGGACATGGCATGCCCAGTGTTAATTGTTGTTGGTCTGTGCACCGGTCGAAGACCATGCTGAACACAGCGATTCTTGGAACGTTTCTTGGATATCATTCCCTTGAGCACAGGGTCTGCGGATACGTAAGGCCAGAGCCATAGAGTGTCAAGCATACTGCCTCCCCACCTGACCAGGACATTGGCGCAGTTGCCGACGCAAGGCCGTGGTACACATGCTTCACCAACGGTGTATACCAGATCCTTGCCAGGATCCTAAAAATTAAGCGTGGTGCAACATGGTAGAATTCAATGCGGCAGCAAATTTCCTTGCTAAGGCTTGCCCACTGCTCCTGCCTTTCTTCAGATGCGGAGAGGCAGGGCTTCACGCAGTACCATAGAAGCGGTTTTGGGTGCACAACGGAATTCAATGCGATGCTCATGCTTGGCTTTCGACCCACAATTTGAAATTGCCCGAAGACGCTGCGCCTGCTGCCTCCTGCTTTCAGCGACTGGTTTGAGAATTGTCTTGTCGGCGCCTCGGAATATGCAGCAGTAGTTGGGCGTGGGAAGTGCCCAGTGAGAACTAGGTGCATCCGACCGTCGACTTTGTCAGGGCTGGCAGGCGATTCTCAGAACGACATGCTTGGAGGATTGCCAGATTTGCAAAGCTTGCAAGGCGTGGTATCATCAGCGGGACGGTGGTTATGACCTGGCAAAAAGCCTGAGCACAGTAGTGCGTTGAAGCGTGGCTGCTTGCAGCTGCTAGTTGCTGAAGAGCACTGGCATCCCAGCCAGGCCCACACTCAGGATTGGATTGTTCTCGACGCTTGAATCACATTCATGTTGTTGAGGCTAGCAGCTAGCACAAGAATTCTGCTTTTTTTGAGTGGTACCTGGCAATTCACATGATGCGAACGTTTGAATCGGGCCACGGCAAACCAGACGAGCATTATTGATCTGGCGGAGGCTGCATTGGGCACCAACGCGCAAACTGTGAAGAGTGGCGTTTGCTACGGCCGAGTCTTAAACGTAGGCTTGAGGGCGCTGATGGGCGTCCTCAAAATGCGTGCGGAAAAGTCGTAGCTTGTGTTGCATTGATGATATGAGGATGTATGCAAAATGTTGTTTCTTAGGCGGGTGCCACGAAGAGAGTCACAATTTTGTCGTATTGTCTATTGTCTCAGTACTGCAGGCTGAGACCATGGCTATGGCATACAAGCCTGAGGCAGGTGGGTCCTCGTCGCTTGCTGAAGTGCTTGAACTCGCCAAATGCGAGGTTGGAGTGGAGATGCCGGACAAGCGTATGATGAAGCAGGCAGGAATTGTACCGTTTCTGACACCAGTATCAAGGACTTGCTTGGCTACAATGTGTGACTCCCTTGCCCAACACAGCTTTGGGGGCTTGGAACTAAAGCTCAGCAATAGATTCGCACCGGGCGAAACGTGCACACGCTTACTCTGGCACTGCAGCTTGAACATGCTTGCTCTAGTGCCTTTTTGACAGGGCTTGGCGGACTGTGGCCCATCCAAGCACAATGGAGAGGCGTAAGAGCCTGAGTTCAAGGTATCGCTGACTCCGTCTCGCAAATCAGCTTTCCAAAGCCAGGACGTGTGGTCTGTGTGTGTGTGTGGGTGGGTGTGTGGGTGTGTGTGGGTGTGTGTGGGTGTGTGTGGGTGTGTGTGGGTGTGCGGGTGTGTGGGTGTGTGGGTGTATGGGTGTGTGGGTGTGGGGGGTGGGGGTCGGGGTGGGGGTGGGGGTGGGGGTGGGGGTGGGGGTGGGGGTGGGTGTGTGGTGTGTGTGGTGGGTGTGGGGGTGGGGGTGCGTGCTTGCTTGCTTGCGTGCTTGCTTGCTTGAGTGCGTGCGTGCATTCGTGCGTGGGTGCGTGGGTGTGTGGGTGTGGGGGGTGGGGTTGGGGGTTGGGGTGGGGGTGGGGGTGCGGGTGGGGTGCGTGTGCGTGCGTGCGTGCGTGCGTGCGTGCGTGTGCGTGCGTGCGTGCGTGCGTGCGTGCGTGCGTGCGTGCGTGCGTGCGTGCGTGCGTGCGTGCGTGCGTGCGTGCGTGCGTGCTGCGTGCGTGCGTGCGTGCGTGCGCGCGTGCGTGCGTGCGTGCGTGCGTGGGTGGGTGGGTGGGTGGGTGGGTGGGTGGGTGGGTGGGTGGGTGTGTGGTGGGTGTGTGGTGGGTGTGTGGTGGGTGGGGGTGGGGTGCGGGCGGCGTGCGGTGGCGGGGCGGGGCCGGCGCGCCGCGCGCGGCGCGGCGCGGCCGGGCGTGACGCGCGCGTGCGCCGGCCGCGTGCGTGTGCGGCGCGGCGCGGCGCGGGGCGCGGCGGGCGGGTGTGGGGGGTGGGGGCGGGGCGGAAGGGGGGGGGGGGCGGGGGAAAAGGTGGGGGGTAGGTGGGCGGGGGGGGGGCAAGGCGCGGGAAGGGGGCGGGGGGCGGGGGCGGGGTAACGGGTGGCGCAGCGGCGGGGGGGCCAAGCGGGGGGGGTATGGCGGGGGCGGGGGGCACCGGGGCGGGGGCCAAAGGGGCGGGCGAAGCGAGGGAGGGGGGCGGGGCGGGGCGCGGCGGCGCGAGCGGGGCGCGGGTGCGCGCGGTGCGCCGGGCGGGGCGGCGGGCGGCGGGGCGCGCGGGGCGGCGGGGCGGCGCGGCGGCGGCGGGGCCGGGCGGCGGGGTGCGCGGGGCGCGGGGCGCGGGGCGGCCGGTGGCGCGGGCAGGGGGCGCGGGGGCGGCGGGGCCCGGGGTGCGCGGGGGGCGGCGGGGCCTGGGGGCGGCCGGTGCGGGGGGGCGCGGGGAGGCGGGGGGGGCGCGGGGGCGCGGGGCGCGGGGCGCGGGGCGCGGGGCGGGGGCGCGGGGCGCGGGGCGCGGGGCGCGGGGGCGGGGCGCGGGGCGCGGGCGCGGGCGCGGGGCGGGGGGCGGGGCGGGGGCGGGGGCGGGGCGCGGGCTGGGGGCTGGGGCATGGGGCGCGGGGGCGCCGGGGCGGCGGGGGGGCGGGGGGGGGGGGCTGGGGGCGGTGGGGGCGGGGGGGGGCTGGGGGGCGGGGGCGCGGGGCGCGGGGGGCCGGGGGGGCCGGGGGGGGGGGGGGGCGGGGCGGGGGGGCGGCCGGGGGGCCGGCCGGGGGCGGGGGCGGCGGGAGGGCTATACGGGTGCCGCCGATAAATAAATAAATAAAGAAACAAATAAAGCCGCCGGGGGCCGCCGGGGGCCGGGGGCCGGGGGGCCGGGGGGTGGGGGGCCGGCCGGGGGGCGGGGGGCCGCCGGGGCCGCCGGGGCCGCGGGGCGGGGGGCCGCGGGGCCGCGGGGCCGCGGGGCGCCCGCGGGGGCGGGGGCCGGCGGGGGGCAGGGGGGGGCGGGGGTGGGGGCCGCCGGGGGGCCGGGGGCCGCGGGGGGCGGGGGCTGGGGGGGGGGGCGGCCGGGGCTGGGGCGGGGCCGGGGGCCGGGGGGGGGCGGGGCGGGGGCCGAGCGGGGCCGCCGGGGGCCGGGGGGCCGCCGGGGGGGGCCGGGGGGCGCCGGCCGCCGGGGGCCGCCGGGGGGCCGCCGGGGGGGGCCGCCGGGGGGCCGGGGGCCGCCGGCTGGGCGCCGGGCCGCGGGCCGCAGGGGGGCCGGGGGCGCCGCGGCGGCGCCGCGAGCCGCGGGGGCCGCCGGGGGCCGGGGGGCGGGGGGGGCGCGGGGGGCCGGGGGCCCGCCGGGGGCCGGGGGGCCGCGGGGGCCGCCGCCGGGGGCGGGGCCGGCTGGGGCGCCGGGGCCGGGGGCCGGGGGGCCGGGGTCGAGCCGGGCCGCCGGGGCGCCGGGGGGCCGGCTATGGGCGGGGCGCGGGCGGGGGCGGGGCGGGGCGGGGCGGGGCGGGGCGGGGCGGGGCGGGGCGGGGGGGGGCGGGCGGGCGGGGGGCGGGCGGGCGGGCGGGCGGGCGGGCGGGCGGGCGGGCGGGCGGGCGGGTGGTGGGTGGGTGGGTGGGTGGGTGGGTGGGTGCGCGGGTGCGCGTGTGCGTGTGCGTGTGCGTGTGCGTGTGCGCGTGCGCGTGCGCGTGCGCGTGCGCGTGCGCGTGCGCGTGCGCGCGTGCGTGCGTTTGTCCGTCCGTCCGTCCGTCCGTGCGTCCGTGCGACCGTGCGTTTGTGTGTCTGTGTGTCTGTGTCTGTGTGTCTGTGTGTCTGCTTGCGTGCGTGCGTGCGTGCTTGCAACAGTGTATGTGCGTGTGTGTGCCTGCGTGCGGAGGTGGGTGGGTGGTGGGTCATGTGAGGGTGTTTGTGTTTGTGTCTGTGTCTATGCGCGTGGGTGCGTGCGCATGCTTCATTTAGTGCTGTGTGGTGCTACACCTGGGTACGTGTTTTGAATCCTGGAGCAGCTTTGTCTCTCGCTCGCAGAGGCCGCGCCATCCAGTTGAGCGTCTTCTCATAGATCATACCCGGCGTGAACAGCATGAGGAGCATTTGAGTCAGTCATGGTTGTGCAATGTCTGTTTGCCCAATGTGTCAGTCTTGCCAAACCATAGCATTATCATGCTATTGCCCTCCAGCCAATGGGCTCGCAGAGGTGGGCAAGACCTCGAAGCATCATTGTTGGCGATTCCTCATTCATGATGCCTGCCAACTTCTTGTGAGGCGTATTGAGCGCATCTGTTAATTGAGCAGTCTCAGTCTTCCATGTATGCTGCTGCACAGTCCCAGCCTGTTTTATCATGCTCAGCAAGTCAGCAGTCAAATTTGAAACTTTTGCTATCGGCAGCGCACTGCGGACACGTTGAACTGATCCATTCTTTCTGCATTCTCAGCCTGCTGAGCGTGGGCCCTGCATATAAAACATTTGATGATGCCGACCAGAGGGTCCTCCCACCGCAAGATGTCAAGACCGACATGACAATAGAGCATGCTGAAATCCCGGCAGCTAGTGTTTTAGTAGCGCAGGTGTGGTAGCTAGCCAATGAATCGACGTGCAGTGATCAGCTTCGAGTATGGACATTGCGGCCGACGAATGGTTGCAGCATGCTTCGAGGTTTTTAGAGGCCATTTAGTTTAGAGGTCTGCATAAGGACTTGCGAGAGGACGACCTTTCTCAGCAAAAACTCCACAAGTCAAGTTTGCGCATTTGGGGGGGGGGGAGGGGGGTATCTTAGTGGCGTTCGAGATGGTAAGGAGCCGTCCCTTGCTGGCAGGAAATGATGAGCAAAGCCTTGGCAAGCCTGGCAGCGCTTGATCTCCGGTGATTCTAGTTTGAACTTCTGCATAGATTGACGCTTTCCCAGTCGTATTGGCTTGCTTCGTAGCGGCTCAAGCCTTGACAGGTTTTGTCCTGCTTCATGCATTGAATGGCAAGAGGGGAGCGAGGGGAGCGGGAGAGCGATGTTTGTGCCGGCTGCTCCTTACATCCGCTTGAGGTGTCGCTGGTCTTGGTCTGCAATCATCGTCTTTGTTTGCAATGTGCTAGAGACCAGTTAGCGGCGAAAGCCACTCCAAGCGCTTCGTGCCCAGACTGTGGGTCTGTCACTCAAGTAGATGCTGGAGCCGCAGAACAAATCCAGGACTACTCCGCATCCCCCAAAAGTCCAGGCACTGACCGCAGAACACCAGTGCAGTCAGAACCAATTGCTTCGCCGCCACGAGCTCACGATCATGCAGGGATTGTGTTGCCAAGGCCCAAGAGTCCTGTCAATGCTCAGAGCCCACTTCCGAACTCTGACTTTGCTTTGCAGATTTGTGGGCAATGCCAAGGCAAGCCGGCAGATGTTGAATGCTTGCAATGCGAAGAGATGTTCTGCCATGCGTGCTACAAAAAGATGCATAGTGCTGGTCGAATGAGAGAACACAGGTTTACAGCCTTGGCCGCGGGCCCAGCCAGAGCGGCTCCTTCAGCGAACGTCACCGAGTTTTGCACGCAGCATGGTGAGATGCTCCGCTTCTACTGCCTCGACTGCCAAGAGTGCACTTGCGCTGAATGTGCAGTGCAACGTTCGGGACTCCATCACGGGCATGATGTTGTGAACGTGCGTAACGCATATCAACAACTTGCCCAGCCCATGCGTGAAGCTTTGGAGACAGCAGCGGCGCGTCTTCGGAAGTCACCAAAGTCGGAGCAGATGCGAGCCTGTGAACAAGTCATGAGCAAAGGTCGACAGGACCTCAAGAAGGCATTTCTGAACTTACAGAACATCCTAAAGTCAAAGGAAGAGTTGCTTCTCAAAGGTGCAGAGGAAAGTGGTCAAATGGCAGATCAAGCCCTGCTAGCAAAGGCCAAGCAGTGTGAGGCAACAGAAGCTCAAATTAGCCGTTTGAGAGAATGGCTTGACGTGCTGGGGACAAATGACATCTCAGACGAGATTGTGAAACTTAATTTATATGCCTTCATCAAGAGAGGGTTTGAAGCACTTCTACCGCAGGCAGTGCGTGGCCTGGCTTTGTTGTTAGTGTTTGTTTTTTGACGTTTTCAGATTTGTTTGGGTCGCGCACAACATCCATTTTGAAGCAGGCAAGTGCAGTGGCGTCAATTTTCCAGCTGAGGTGAGAAGCTGCAGCATGGGGACTTTCTGTCTGAGCTGCAGAAGTTCGAACAGCTTGATGCCGCGGAGCTTGAAGACGTTGCGTCTTACTCTCAACAAATTAGCAATGCAATTCAGGTGAAAACCGCCGAGCTTGGTTCTTTGGCAAGAGATTTGGAGGCCAAAGAACCTTCCCTGAGACGCATGACTGCGGGAAAAAACTGAATTTGTAGTGATGCATCACTGGGGTTCTTCTAATTTAGTGTGGCAGTTTGCCTTGACTGCTGACAATTGCCAATTTGATGTTGCGAGTTTCATATGACATGAAGTGATTTTTGTTTTTTTTTTTCTGAGGGAACCACCTCGAAAGTGTTTGGTGGACATGAATCCCCGCCTAAATGATGTCCACCAAAGGGCCCCTTATTGAAATTCATACCCGTGTGATTAGGGTTGCTGTATCCTTGATGTTTTTTCATTTTGCCAGGTCTATGGCCAGCACGCGCCTCTCCGCGCCAAAATGGTACGCCTTGGTTTGGGCAGTCATTGGTTGCACACATTCATTGCGCGTATCGGCAAAAAGCTGACGGGAGGAACGTGAGCTGCTGTCACAGTTTCAGCGCCTTCCTGGCCTACCATCCTCTCTGGCGTGCCTGGCGAATTGCGTGGATGTCGGCCGACTTTTGACTGATCCAGTGAATTGCTGGTGTTCCATGCACATAGCTAGTTGGCAAAAGGCCATGCGAGGCGCTTGGCTTCGCCGTCGCCCGTCTTTCACTCGTCAGGTGGGCTTGGAGACTGTCCTAGACATGGACGAGACCATCGAGTTCGAAGACATCATGAACCTCGAGGCCTGCGATCTGCGATCTCCTGATCGATCCCCTGCGCTGTGGGCGTTGGTGCGAGGCCAACTCCGCCATGTCGCGCTTTACCGGGCCCAACAGGCAAGGTCGCACTGGTCGCACTGGTTTGTATTGGAGACAAGATATCCTGAAGACTGCCTTCCTGGTCATTTCTCGAGCAGGATACAAATTTCACCCTGTGACAGCTGGCCAATACGTCTGCGATTCCCTGCCAGGATTCCATTGCAAGGAGGAATAACATGTGTGTTGAAATACAAGGATTCGGAATCGGGTAGACAGTGCACTTCAGAAAATGCATTTGCAAGTATGGTCGCTGCGTAGGGGGCTTCATGACATCATGGAGCAGCGGCTGAACATGCGCTTCTGAGCGGAATGAGCAAGCAAAGCGGAGCAGTGCGGCATAGCTCTTCAAAAATGCTTGTAGTTGCTGGTAGCTGCTTGTTGCATGTTTGGCTACCGCATCAGTGCAATATGGGCCAGAGCAGCACAGACTCGCCGTGCAAAAGAGGCGTCAGCTCATTCCACACCTTCCATTTGGCGTGCACGCTCCTTCGGCAAAGGAATGAAGAAGGACACTGTAGCCGCCGCCGCCAGGCTTGAGAGGAATTTCTGAGCAAGTCACGCAGTCCGGAATATAGATCCCGCAAGCTGACCAGCCCAATGCAGTACACAACGTAGTGCCAAACAGTTCCGAGGGTGTACTGTGGATGAGACCTTTTTCACACGAACATCAACCAACCCTGTTGCCATTATGGGTCGCCGGCTGCTAGGCTGCATTAGCCAGAATCCAGGTGACGTTTGGCTACTAGCATTTGAGAAAGACGCACAGAGTGAGATGAACCGTTGCTGCCTGCCAGCGAGGCACTTCACTTTTGCAGCACCACCGCGTGCAATGCAAGAGTCGATGAAGCAGGCATGCGACAAAAGCATCAATGCCTCGAAGTAAGATTCATCATGTTACGTAGTTTCACGAACGACTCCGAGTGGCTCTTTTTTAAGCAATTCCCGTTGCAGGGTTGCCAAGTGAAGATTGACGATGGCCAGGCAAGCTTGACTATTCATTTTATTGTCAATGCATGGGCACCGGGCTCACACATCTGCCTGTGAGAAGCCTTCGAGCTTGGTGGACAGTGAGAATATCCTCTCCAGACGGCACTTTGCACGTGAGGCCGGCGTGAAGCAAGTTAAATGTGAGGTGATCCAAGGAAGTTGGTGTTTGCTCCGGCAGCAAGCAGCAGCCTAGGTATCTGGAGGCGGAACTCCGACTTGCCTTGAGATCTCTTCTCGAAGGCCAAGTCACACGCCAAGTCGTGCGCAAAGCTCAGTGCGCCAGGCACTTTGCTGACATTGAGCACCAGGAAAGTTGCCCAGAGGCTGATCTTCTAAGATTCCTTTGTTGCCAAGATAAATTTGACACGAGTGTTCCATGTGTCCTTTTGCCTCGCTTTGTCTCACCTTGCATGGGAAGTCTGAAGGCTAACGACTGTGACATCGGCAAGAAGCACGTGTCATGGCCCTGGGTGTGTTCTCCGTTTCACTTAGAACATGTCCTTGTGCCTTGAACAGGCGAGGTCGTTCAGCTCAGTTGCACGGCAGCGTGCAGGCACGTTACTTTCACAAAGTGCTTATGCCTCGTGGCAGTGAGCAAAGGTAGACTGCAGCACGGTTTGCCTGAAAGGGCATTTCGTTTTTACCGCAACTAATTTGTGTTGCAGTTGCAGGTGACAGGCACAGAGACCGCGAGCGGCAAGCGGTGCGACTTCAGCCGGCGCGCCTAGACCAGGGGCCAGCTTGGTGTTTGGCAGTGAACTGAGCCATTGGTGTTTGCACGCAAGGCCACCGGCCCCAAAGGCAGGCCTTCCTTCTGGCGTCTAGTTCGGCAATTCGAGCGTACATGGGATATGCAGCCTTTCTCAAGGCGGAGTGGTGCACCCCAGCGACGACATCTACAGTGCAAGGACTTCGCATCGACACCTTGGCTTTCTGCTTGCCACAGATCAGAGACCAGAGTTGCCATCCTTAGAAGAGGAGCACCTACTTTGGAGTGGTGCTGTGGCTGGGCAAGTTGATGTGCCTGCGCAGGAGCTGCATTGCTGTTTTGCGCATCGGAATCACAAACGCTGTTGCGGAAAATTTGAAAATGGTCTTCCAGCTACCTTTCTTTTTTGGAGCCGTGAGTCCCAAGAAGAGGCGTGCTGTAGAGGAGTAAAATGCGGACATACGACCTAAAGCTTCTGTCGCCAGTGCTTTCCTGGTATGTACTCGTAAGGTCAACAACCACAAGCAGAACAACAGAGCACAAACACGAGAGCGAGAGCGACTGCGGGCAGAACCACGACAGCAGCAGCAGCAGCAGCAGCAGAAACAGCAGCAGCAGCAGCAGCAGCAGCACCAACACCAGCAACACCAGCACCAAGACCAACAACAACATCAATAAGGGATGTGGCAGAGAGATGAAAGAGACAGGACATTTACAGTTTACATCCTTATTATTGTTCCTCTTCATTTTGGATGATTAATGTTCCAAAATGAAAAGTAAAAGAAAGGACCACCATATCAGCTTCTTCTTGGGTTTGTAAATATGCTGTGTGGTCTAATTCGGTCTAATCTCTTGCAACAATAGAATTGTCTTACTATCAAGAACTTGACAAAGAAGAATCCATGAAGATACAAATATAAGAATTATGATTACAAAGATGAAAACCATAAAGTAAAAACTCAAGAACTAATACAAATACAATAATCTAATTCTGAAGAATCATACACTCAATCAATAATAATCCAGACTGTTCCAATATGAAAGATATTAAAACAGAAATATATTAGGATGATTTGTTTTTCATATTTTATTATTGAGTTTTCATTTTTAATTAGAATTATATTATCTATTCCATACCTTTCTTTATTGATTGTTTGTAGAGTTCGTAGTTCTTCTTTCATGTCTTTGTCTTAGTTCCTGAAGTTGTAAGGGAATGAGTTGCAACCGCAACCCCAACCACAACCACAACCACAACGCCAACGACGCCGACACCGACACCGACAGCAACAGCAACAGCAACAACATCAAGAACAAGAAGAGCAGGAATGACAAGAACATTGAACTAATAACAAGAACAATAAGACCAATAATACCAAGAACAAGAAGAACAAGAACAATAAGAACGACGACGACGACGACGACGACGAGGACGACGACGAGGACGACGACGACGACATCGGCAACAACAGCCGCGGCGGTGAGAAACTGTGATTTGTCTGTTTTACTTTTCACGGATTTGTTGTAGCCATGCCAAGCTCTCAATCTGTACTAGATGGAGGCTGCGGACCTCTTGGGTAGTGCAGGACTCGGCTTGTCTGTCAGCAACTGAGCTATCACTGGAAAAGGTTCGATTAAGGGATAGGAGTGAAACAGGGTAACAACTCTCAAGAATGGTGTACCTTTAAAACGAAGCACCCGGCTTTTGCAGGGCGCGAGCAGCTTTTGAGACTAAGGCGAAACTATGCCTGAACAAAACCCTTCGGAGAGCATTGGCTCCTTTGCATTGCGATAGATTGACGAGAAGCAAACAGAAGCGGGAGGACCAGGGAAACTACCTTCCGGAAGACTATGGGAAGACTACAAGACTACCGAAAGACTACGGGAAGATACATCACCAAAAACCTTTAACACGAAAGCTACCCCGTACACGAAGGATTCAGAGATACTTGATGTTGGCACATAAATAAGAATTTTGGCGGCTCCCGGCCGAGCCGTTCAACCTCGGCCTTTGCCGTCCAACACGTTCAACTCAAGAGCAGTTCCATGTCTGAGTTTTGCAATATGGTTGGCCGAACTTGCTGCAGGGCATACGCTGTAGTGCGGCATCGCCTACACTGGATTCTCAAGTTGCTAAACTGTGGCGCGCTCGGGGATTGGCGCGTGAAGAGCTACGCATTTGCAGCACGACGGTTTTAGATGCTTATGCAAGGCTGTCCGGAGATGGTGACGTTCAGCAGGCTGGCAGCTGCTAAAGGAATGCCTTGAATTGAACATGCATGAGAACCACCGACAAAGCAATTGAATTCCAGTTTCGTCAAGCAGGGCTGCTTTGCATCCGTCCTCCGCAACACGAGCATCCAAAACTACAGGGCACCTCAGAAGGGGTACCTATGCTCCTGAATAAAGTTGGTGTGTCTAAAGAAGGGGGAAGCATTTCAACTTGCAGGGCTCCAAGCAAATGTGTCCATCAATGTCCTTGTGGTGCGTTTGTTTGCTGCCATTGCGCCATGAACTCTGGTTGCAAACAAAGAAATGCAGGAAGGGAAGCTCTAGGGCTGCCCAAACCCGGAAGCAAGGAGTTTGGACCAAGTGCAGCGACCCTCCAGACTACGGCTTGTGCCTTCACATGCGTTGGGTGCAGGAAACGCTGGTTTGCTCTGGTCCGAGGCTGGGAATCAGGGCCCATGAGTTTCCCAAAAGATCCATGAGCCCTTTGTTGACTTTCTCCAATCTGCAGCAACTCACAAATTGCACGTAACCCCAAGCATGCGGCAAACCAAAGCGTGGCGCGGCTGCAGCCAACACCTGCAAGATTGCTTGTATTGTTGACGCACCGAGTAGCGCGTTCATGCCTGGCCTTTCAAACCAGTACCAACCGAGCCGTACCCTGTGTTCCATTGTGCCAGTTTGAGGCACTAGTACTGCAGGATTCTGTCTAATGCATGAGCCCACATGTTTTTGCAGGTCGCACACTCCCGCCAAGCGACATGTTGAGGTGCAGGAGCACGGGTGAAAGGAAGTTGCTTGTGTGATAGTTGCAGCTTGCCACCCTCAGGACAATTTAGTAGGAGGAACTCTCCGCTGCTATCACCTCGGCCAATAGTGCTGTTGAGAGCTCTTAGGCACAGCATCACATGGCAAGATTTGGCAAAATCAGGTCGCAATGGTCCTGATCTGACTCAGCGATCCAGGCGGACCGTTGAATGACAGTGGCGCAACACTGTGCAACTGTGCTTGATGGCCGCAGGTGCTCTGTCACGGATCGCCAGGATGCTAAGATGTTGCAAGCGCGAGCTCCATGATGCAGCATGTCAGCTTGTAATGTTGTCTCCAAGGCACAAGCTTGCTGGGAGGGCGCCTGAGGTTCGCTGTTCTTCATGTTGCCCAGAGTATAAACAAACAGCGCAGGGGAGCTACAAGTGCGACAGTGCCACAGCGTCCTCCGGCCAGAGACCAAGGAGTTGCGCAAGTCTATGCGCGATGTAGCCCCATCAGGTGCGTACTGAAGCGGCGCAGGATCATTTAGCCGGCAGTGCATGCCTGCCAGCCGTAAGCGCATATTGATTTCTGTCCGCTTGCTTGCAGACAGGGTGACTGCTCAGACTGAGCAGTGAAACGATACCCCGAGTCTGGCCAGCTTGCATTTGCCAATGCTACAGAATGCCAACGTATGTGAATCACTGCACTGTCAAGAATATTGACGAGTGCAACGTCAGAAGCTGGCCTTGCGGCCGCTTGGAAAAGTGAACTTGTTTTGTTGCAGCTTGGCAGAGACAAAGCTTGGCAACATGACATGGGTGGCTTTGTATGTTACTGAAGATGTGTGGGTGTGTGTGGGTGTGTGTGGGTGTGTGTGGGTGTGTGTGGGTGTGTGGGTATGGTTCAGGTAGCCGTGAGTTGGTGTTTTGTATTGATGGTTTGGGGATTTCAACCCCTGGTTCTTGCAAAGGGTAAATGGAAACCCCATCTTAACCACGCGTTTGTGTGCATGTGTGTGTTTGTGTCCGTATCGTTGTGCATGCAAGCACAAATGCGCTCGAGCATCGCGTGCGTGCGTGCATGAGCGCGTGCGTGCATGCGTGCATGCGTGCGTGCGCGCACACGCGCGCGCGTGTGTGTGTGTGTGTGTGGTGTCTGTGTGTTTGTGTGTTTGTGTGTTTGTGTTTGTGTGTGTGTCTGTGTCTGTGTCTGTGTCTGTGTTTGTGTCTGTGTCTGTGTATGTGTCTGTGTCTGTGTGCGTGTTGTGCGTGTGTGTGTGTGTGTGGGTGTGGGTGTGTGTTTGTGTGTTGTGGGTGTGGGTGTGGGTATGGGTGTGTGTGTGTGTGCGTTGTGTGTGTGTGTGTTGTCTTGTGTTGTGTTTGTGTTGTGTTGTGGTTGTGTTGTGTGTTGTGTTGTGGTTGCGTTGTGTTGTGTTGTGTTGTGTTGTGTGGTGTGGTGTGGTGTGTGGTGTGTGGTGTGTGGTGTGTGTGTGTTGCTTGTGTTGTGTGTTGTGTGTGTGTGTGTTGTGTTGTGTTGTGGTGTGGTGTGGTGTGGTGTGGTGTGGTGTGGTGTGGTGTGTTGTGGTGTGGTGTGGTGTGGTGTGGTGTGGTGTGGTGTGTTGTGGTGTGGTGTGGTGTGGTGTGGTGTGGTGTGTTGTGTTGTGGTGTGTTGTGTTGTGTTGTGTTGTGTGGTGTGGTGTGTGGTGTGTGGTGTGTGTGTGTTGCTTGTGTTGTGTGTGTGTGTGTGGGCTTGTGCACGCGAGCTCGCAACTGTTGGTCATGGTTACGGTGCACAATATCATTGGGCAAGGCATGGCGCGGCTCGCATTTTCGAGCCCAAGCCTTCAGACCCACTGGGCTTGGACCTGCCAATCGAACCCTTGCCCGAGTCTTAAGCACAGGTGTGCTCGAACAGGGTAGTTTGCTGTGCTTGCAGGACATTCCAAACTTCAATACTATTCCCAGGTCAATGGTATCCTCGTTTTTCTGGATGAGTGGCCTTGGCGTCGGGCGCTAGCAAATCCATTCAGACAGTTGTATGTAAGTGTGAACTTGGAGCAACTTGCCTCAGGCTTGGCACATGGCATGTCACAGGCTGCGCTTATTCACTTGGGGATGAGTCTTACAGTTGCGGCTGACAGCCTTAGTCTCAAACGGGGCAGGCAAAACCCGCGATTTTCACGGAGGGTATGACATTGGACGATAGTCAGAATGGTCATGGCGCATCTCAGGTCTTTCTTGTCTACATGCCCTCCATCTCTGCTTTCATTATTGAAAGCGAATGTTGGCGCCTCAAAGAAAGAAAGAAAGAAAGTGGGTGCATTCGCCAGATACCTTGCATCCAAAGATTGTGCTATCACGCATAGGCAAAGTCACGCCAAGAGCACTCCCTCAGCAAACTATCTACGTGACAGTGCTTGAACCCGCAATGCCAGGATCCCCTTGGCTTTAGCCGTGAACAGGGGCTGTAGCTAGTGAAGCAATAGCTACTTTTCGTAGAAAGCAGGCGTGGTAGTTCAGGCGATCAAGTGTGTTCATCAACAGATGGGCATGGGTCAAAAGCCCGTACCCTCAGTGAACATCACAATCCCCACTAAAATAGGTTCTACAATGGGTGGTGCACCTGCCCCAAAATGGGATCCCATCGGTTTTGAGCCACAGCCAGATGTTGGTAGGTCGAGTGTGCACAGCTGCAGAACTTGCTGGCTATGCTTCATGAGCCGTAGGTGACGACCCCACCTCCTTCCTGCAGAAAGGCCGGCGAGGTGACTGGAAACTGCCGATGTTGGCAACCGGTAGGTGTGGAAGCATTGCACCGAAAAGTGCAAAAGGCTGGCAGCCATTGAGTTTGATTCAATGCCACTTTCTGTTCATGGAGCTCAGGATGAGCCGGACATCTTGGTTGAGCCAAACACCATGTCCGCACAACTTGATCACATGCGACCCGCATTGTCAGGAACTCAGAGGCTAAGCCTTGAACCTGGTTGGGCATGAGTTGCAACGCCTTCTCAGGTTGGCACTGTCCTGTGTGACCATCCTGTATTTCTCCGCATATGTGACAGCCTCGCTTTGCAACATGATGTGTTCACATGAACATCAAAGTTGTTCCGAGACACTATAGGTCGTATAGACAGCTGTCAGAGCATGTTGAATAATGATGTCAAGGCCGCTCTGGCGATTGTGCATGCCTTCAACAAGGCCATGACTTTTTTTTTGTGTATGTTCCGGCTGCTTGTATTCACAGGCACGAAATGCCGGATCTGGTGCCATGGAGAAGGCCCTAGAGGCCTGTGTCTTATCCATGTGGAAGTGGAATAAGTTGAATGACTCTTCGAGTTTCTATTTTATCATTTAAACCCATCCTGCAAATGACAAGCTCCTTGTGTCCATGCTGTGCAGTCTGCTGTGATGGGCGTATGCTTCGCGCCCATGTTGTGTGTCCTGTTCCTGTCTGCCCCGGGCCTCAGTTCATGCAAAGCTGTGTGAGTTGTGGCTTCACATGAACGCTACACTTTGCATTCTGCGCACTGCTTCTGCCGCTTCTGAAAGCAGCTATCACGGCAGTGAACGTGAGCCAAATGCAGAAAAACAACATGTTCCTACAGACTGCCTTTGATCATGACTCGAGTCGAACCTGCTGCACAATCAAAGCAAGCATGACCTCCCCAAACACGTTGACACCGTCCATACAGTGCGGCCCGCTTGCCTCGTAGACGCCAAAGCGCCCCGTTGGGCTTGGTGACAGCAGCGCGAGATCCCAGATGCTTTTGATCCCGATGCCTTTTGGAATGGTTGAGGGCCGTACCGTGAAATGGTGAGTCATGAATGCTGTCCAGGGCAATGGCAGATATAGATGAGAAAACCATCTTGGAAAGCTTTGAAGGGCTGGAAGGCTGGGTCTCAAGGACAAAAATATTGAAATGCAGTTGACATTGACTGCCAAAAGCATTCATGGCGGAAGGCATGAACTTGCCCGTGGCACAGTTTGTGCAGATTTTCAAGACTAATCCGTATTTGGAGCTTGGGCTGCATTGCTAGAGTGCCGAAGATATTCAATGTTACTGTCTTCACAGCGCGCCCGTGCCTTTGCTTCTCGAGGTGCGCAAAGTAGCCATGGCCACTGGCTTTGAGGAGCAAGCTCTACGTTGCGTTCCTGAAGAGGAGCATTGAAGTTATGCTACTGTGAAGTTCACTGACTGTGCCTGTGACAAGAAGGGTTGCAATTGATTCGTGCGGTGATGTTGTTTGGTGGCATCAATCGTAGAGCATCAATGCAATATCAATGCTCAGCTCGCTCTAAGAGACATGAGTTGACAGGGGCCTGAACTTACTCATGTCGAATAACATCTTGGCGATAAAAGTGTGGCGAGGATGAGCTGCTGGTCAGAAGCAAGTTAGACAATGATAGTAAGGAGTAGCAAAGGCAAATCGCATCAAGCTTGAAAAGCACAAGTCACCAAGTTGAGTTGAGGTCGCCAAGCATGTCTCTTTCCAAACCAAATGCATCTCGTGGGTGTTGTGATTCAACGAGTTGGTTGGGACTCGATGGCACTTTGGAGATGCAGGGGTTCTGTGTGAATCACCCAATCTCAGCCTCTCTGAACAGGATGTTGTTGATTATTGCCAGCGTGTGTGCCTGACAGGAGCTGCTTGTCGCGTTCGCGCCTTGTCGAGAATTAAGGAATCGGAACTCGCCAAAAGGTTGCAAGAAGTGTTTTTCTGTGGAGGCAAGCAGATTGCAGTGTGCAAAGGCTGTGCAACGGACCTCGGAATGTGCGCACACGCAAATTCAGCGATCCTAAAACAGGACAACTCGCACCAGGAGGGCTTGCAGCATTCAACAGCCCATCAACTGAAGCATGCATTGTCGTGAAAACAAGTTGAGCAGTCGGATATGCGTTTCATCCGTCGGGTACATGTTGTTGCTAGTTGGGGTTGCTGTGCTGCTCGGTTGAGGCTCAATGGGACACCGACAGCACTGGAACCATCTCCTTCGACAACTTTGTTCAAGGCGCCTGGCTAGCCTAAGAACAGGGTGGGGGGGGGGGGGCTTCAGGGCAAGCACCGACGACATGCTGAGCATGTGTTTGACAAGTGCATCGATCTTTGTCCAAAGCTGGAGGCTTATCTCAAATGCGCCACTTCAGCAAAGCTTTGCAGGATGAGGCTGGTTAGCAAGGGGAGCAGAAAGAAGCCAAATTATCCACTGTTACAGTCAAGACGAGCTTTTCTAGAGTTGCCCTCTGGCCCCTGCAGGCTGCTCACGAGGAGGAGCAGAGCATTCTAAGAGATTCGGTCATGAAGGCCAAAGATGCCTTCGACATAGCGAAAGGTGGGAAGACGGAGTTGAGCTTGCAGGCAGGGCAAGTTCTGACTAGTGTTACTGACAGGCAAAGACTTGAACAATGGTTGCCCAGTCAGTTTGAATCATATTGCAGTGGGATCCCATTTTGGGGTAGGTGCACCACCCATGTTAGAACCTATTTTAGTGGGGATCGGGATGTTTCACTGGGGTGCGGGATTTTGACCCATGGCCAGAAAGGAGGCTGAAAGCTTGTGCTCCCAATGCAAAGGATTTCATGGAAGCTTTATCCGATGATCATCAGCTTCAACGGATTTCCGCAGCAACGGAGCCTCTTGGATTGAGTTGTCATGAATGGGGGCTGGGGGAGCGGGAGGGGAGGAGGGAGCCCAAATAAGCCGAAGCGAGAGTCACCTTCAGCCGGCCATTGCACGGCCTGTAGGCTGCCACTGTCGTGGTTTGAGTCGCTTACCGCCCCATGGCCGCAAGACGCCTGCTGAGTTGCTGTTCATGGCCGAAGGCAGTTAACTGCCCAAGTTGGACAGCAGATCTTAAGAAGTTGACGGCATATTTCGCAACAGCTGAAACAGGATCGGATGCATGCGTCAAGGGGACATGGCATTTTCAGTTGTACATCCACAGGAAGAGTGCTTCTGCATTGTAGAGTCTGGAGTGCTCTGCCGACTTGCAAATGAGATACCACTGAACATACAAGAGATATGTATCAGAGTGAAGCAGGATTAACGAAGCATTGAGACTGAGAGATACGTCAGAGGGCTCTGGCGACGGCTCAGATTGTGTTGACATGTGCATATTCAGAAGTTGATCGAGTTTGGTGGATTGAGTTAAAAGCAGGGTGCCAGCTCAGGCTCGTGGTTTGTTGGACTTGTTCAAGGAGGTGGATGCTTGGTTTGACTTATCGCAAGGAGTGCAAGGTGCCAGGATTGCTCTCGGGACGTGACGCGTGGGATTGGCCCCTGGCTTGAGGACCTAGACTGCTCGGGCACCATTTCACTGGATGAATGGGTTGAAGCGTTGGTGCAAATTCGATCCCAAGCTGCACATATGATCCAAAAAAAGCTGGCTGCATCAACAAAGAATTGGGAGGGTCCCCTGAAAGTATGGAAGCCTGAGCTGCCATAGTATGATATTGCTTGCTTGATCGATCCTGATTGGACATGGCCGAGGCTTGTCTTCGTATCATGAGCGCAAGGCGGAAGAGAAGGAAGCCATGGATGCTGTTAGAAAATATGCCGAGGCCATATTGTCTGCGTGGTGTGTGCCTGTGCTGTGCGTGTGCGTTTGCTGGTGGCGTTTCACTCAATGCCGCTGACTTGTAGCCTTGTTCCACGAGCTTAACAGAGATCGGCAGGCTGCTCTAGATGAGGGTGATGAAGATTCCTGGTCGCAAAGCAGCTGAAACAACAAGGGCTCTCTTCAGGCACTTGACTCATATCGATCGGCCAAGGATTGGAACGGCGAGTTCGATTTGAGGGAGTTGTTTGTCTGCAAGAGCATTGGCAAGTTGATCTTCAAAACATGTATCATCTCGGTTTTGCAGGTTCTTTACGGCCTTCAAGTACAATGCCAGATTCCTTCGCAAGGCCTTTTTCGGACATTGTCACGGGTACCATGCACTGAGTCCCACAGGTGTCGTTGGCTACTGGCATACCAGTGGAGGAGTTCATGTCTTAGCGTGGGGTCAAGCTGTCTCAGCTATGCAAACGTGCAAGCGGGTGCATGGTGCATTCTCTCATCTGCAGGTTCAGACAGATGCAGGCAGAATCGATTGAAGAATTGTTCATGGCGCTGGACACTGATTATTCAGGCCTGATGCCATGTTTGCCCAGCCTGAGTCTGCGGAAAGCGTGGGTCGAATGTGCTTTTGTTCAGATGGGGCTTAGCTGATCTTTGACAACAGTGCGGTGTTGTGTTTGCATCCGGTACTAGTTGTGGCGTCATACCAAGCATTTGTCTCGTTAAGGCACCGTATCCTTCGCCGAATTTGTGAAGGGTCAACTTGGCTGCAACAATTTGTCGATTGGCGCCTCGTATATGTTGCCAACTGCACCACTTGGAGCTGATTTGACCTGCAGACGAGATCAGGGACACCTGCAGCTTGGATCAGGCTCAAATGCGATAGTCGGTGAGCATGATTCAATATGTTTCACAGGTGATTGCAGGAATGGCCCAAAACCCGCTTGTGTTTTGCCATTCGTAGTCGATCACAGTGACTGCGCGGGAAAGCAACACTTGAGTCACGGTTCTCTGGGCCATGGCGCATGACTTGCAGCACCTGCACACTGCCTGGCAAGTGGAAGCAGCGGTGAATGAGGAGGAGACGCGCGTTCTTCGGCACTGAGTCATCCATTGGCGTTTCAGCATTTTGATCACAAGTTTCGACGGTTTGAACTCCCAGGTCGTACTACTCCGCTTTGGCAGGGACTATGACCCTGATTGCAAGCTGATGGATGATATTTTACACTCCATCTCAGAGACTGTAAAGGCGTCAAGACTTGTGCAGTAGCCACAACATTATAAGTATCATCGGTGGTGCATTGCAAGACTTGTTTGTGCACTTCTGCGGAGGCCAAATGCAATATGTTCTTGGTTGATATCGCTCAAGTTCACGACTTCACGCAGCAATACGAGCCCTGGACATGACAGCGTTGTTGCTTGCAGATGGAAGGATGTGTCATCGATGTCTCTTCCAATTGCAATCAGCGTTTGGCAGCTGCGTACGGTGCGTGTGCTAAGGAGCTCTACGACCCCTGTACCCTGATGTTTTTTTACAAAGGCCGGCCATGACACCTTCCCGGCAAAAAACGGGTCTTTCAAGAAAACAAGTAGTGTCGTTTGTAGGCATCCCAATCATTGAAGGCAGACACTTGCAGCTGGAGCTTGGCTTCGGAGCGTCTTGCCATGCAAATGACAGCATGTGGCCTCTGCTTACCAAACGGGGCATCCTCATGTCTACCAAGGAACGGTACAAGATCACCTGGCCCATTTCAGAGGAGAAGGCCGGCATGTGTGGCGCGTTCTGAGCTCCAGCCATCCTGCACAGGAGCTGATCACAATTGTGGATGCTGTGCATCGTGGTGCGCAGCAAGGGCGGGATTTGATCGTTGCTCCACAAGACCGTTCGCTGCCG